CCACAGTGAGCGTAGCGTGCATCGAAATGAGCTGTACTAAGGATTTGAAATCATGGTCCTCAGTACAGCTCATTTCGATGCACGCTACGCTCACTGTGGGCGGGGCTCCGCCAAGCTGATGTGTGCTTTATAGTCCCAAGACGGCTTAAAAACTGGGGTTTAAAGGTGACTAGAGGTGTGCATTGGTAGGTTAGGTCCAACTGGGGATACCCATCCCCGATGGGCAGGGCGTTCTTCAAAAATGCAACGCTTTATGAAAACATTTGGGAAAATCATAACTCCTGTCCCCGTGGACCTAGAAAGTTCAAAGATGGAAGGAGTATGGGTGGCGGGATGGGAACACTTATGGTGGGTGGCAGGACCAGACTTCGCCCACAGGGGGCGAGGTTTGAGCGGAAACTCATAAATCCGATAAAGGTTTATAATGAAAATCAGCTCATGTGGCTTCGTCCCTCATGGTTAAAGCCAATAGCGCACGCGATAGCGTGCGTGGCCACCTGATTCCCTATAACGTACTAGCACAGGCCTCATCCCGCAGCCTGCACTCTCGCCGAACTTAAACGCTCCGGGTTTATTGAAAAAGGAGTTCTAAATTTTCTGTCAAACGCACACCCTGAACTGCATGTTGTACAGGTGTTCCAAAATTAAGAGCGCAAAAGTTTAGGGACTTCCACGAATAGTTTCTTAATTTCACTTCATTCGCTACTGATCAGTTGCACGAGTAGATTCCCTTACAAAATTCCCGTACTAGCGGGTTCCCGCATAGAACTGAAGGTCAATATTGTTAAGAAGATGAAGCTCATTCAGTGCCACTTGCAATCATTTGCATGCAAGAGGCGGAAAAACAATGAAATTTTTCATGAATTCGATACTGACCACACAGGAGGTTGTTAAAAAACACACAAAAGCAGAACTAAGACTAGGATTCGAACTAGGAATGAGTACAAAGGCTAGTGATTCCGAATATTGGACTATTCAAATAGTTCGTTTGCGAGTCGGGGTGACATGAAAAGGGAGGCAATTGAGCAGGAAGAAGTTTTTGATGTGGCGGATTCTTGAGCATGAACTTCATGACTATAACTAATGACTATTCGGTGCAGAAATGCTACTTCATTCCCGATTTGAACAGTCGGTGTAGGATCCCAAAACTCGGAAGGTTGTAACTCAGCTAAAGTCACAATTCACGTTCGAAGCGATTTCTATTAGGTTGATGCATAATTATTGCGGATTTTTTTCCAGCAAACTTCACTTAGAGAAAATATGGAAATACTTTGCAAAGACATATTCTAATAATTACATTGGAACTTATCCAAAGTCTAAATCAAGCACTGCTACCCATTAGCTAATCAGTCGAATGAATTCCACGGGCGAAGAAGTTGCAATCTTGGAGGCGATCCGATCCGACGTCGGCCATCAAATCATCCATTCCCTCGAAAACAGAGTACGCTAGCCAATTTTTCAACGGACGGACAAATGAAGTGATAATCCATAAGAGTTTCCGTTGGTGAACAGGGCGAATGTAGAAGCAGATTCATTCACTCATTCAGCTTTGGTTGACTGTTCCATCACTGAGAAGTTTGTTGAGACCGCCTTAACTTGCTAACTTCCACGCTTTCTTGAAGTAATAGAGCATGATTTGGCATATATAAAAATGACTTTCCAAACACATTTCTATTAAGGAAAGTACGAAGATTATTTCTATAAAATCCCGAATTCAAGATTCAAATTCTACCCAGAGAAAAGAAGCCGCAAAAAAATACGCAATAATTATGCATCAACCTCTTAAGATCTCCTCCGATAAACGTGCGACCCCAAGGATGGTCTAAGGGACGCTGTCGGGTCAAAAATCGGCCAAAATAGGGCGCAATAAGGGCCCCAAAACCGTATTACAAAAGAAGGATACTTTGTCGCAGTGACCACCCAAGATGAGAGATGTTTAACGGCGTAGGTGGTTTCAAACGCTGATCTCCATTCTGTGTTCCGAATCTGGTGACGAATCTGGGAATAAAGACGAGACCAATGTCGGAACCAGTGTCTCCCAGTCTTATACCACTATAAAGAACAGAGTAGAACTGTGGACTGGTAGGCATGACATCAAGGTTCGACTCCTTGGCATGTACTCGTTTTGTCTTGCTTGCAAACGCTTGCAAAATGTTCCTGGGCTCAATGCTGGGCATCCCTCACATTTAGGATTCCGGGGACTAGTAATTCAATAGAATTTTTTAATACAATGACCAAATAGAAAATACTCCTCTCTTACTCGAACAGTCAAGGTGGTGTCTCGGAATTTTTGAGAGCTCCCTGCACTTATGGTAAAAGACGGTCGAATGACTCATCTGATCAGAGCCCTCTTTGGGAGGTTGCGGTCCACATCTTTTAGGAATACTATTCACACTTTCAGAGCGGATGCAAGTTGACTGTCATTGTGAAGAAATACTGTGGAACAATTGTTTGTCGATTTGTGTGCACATATGATTAGTTGGCCTCTAGGAGGACTTCAGTGTTGATTTCAAGCGTTGTCCAGTGGAAATGACTGTCGTGCAATGAGTTTCTTATTTTAAACTTTAACTTTTGATTTATCCAGTCAAATTTTCCGCTAATCTCCATAAGAAGACGGATCGGTCCGCTTCTTTTGTACCTGATGATTACGGTTACAGGAAACATCGTAAGTGTCGATAATAGACTAATTCGAAAGCTCATGACCTCTCGCACTTCTCTCCCCTTAACTTCCGTGGATGACACTCCGTCGTGATTATACAAATGTATTTTTTATGTGCAAGGAAGTTTCTTTTGACATTCGCACTATAGGAGGCTGAGGCAGTTCTACCAAACGCCATAAAATTGGAGTTCATGGGCCAGATCACAAAGTTGGAAGCTACGTTTCACTTTTGAACTTCTATGTCCACACAAACGTACGAGGTTTCTCTAGCACACAGAGGATCATTGTGATCGTCGTTCATGGAGTCGGTTTCCTCGCAGTAGATAACGAGCTTGTTTTCATAGCATCAAAATGTATGGTTCAAGAGCTCTTCAAAACCTTCCGCTGATTCTCAGGTAGGCCTCACGTTTTACTGCAGAAACGAAAGTCCTATATCAAATACGATGACACCACCTTCGGTTAGAATATTTCGCTAGTAAGATGTACACCTACGGTTTTGTCGATTTGGTGATCTGCTCAGTACAGATTTGAGATAAACGGTCAAAACCACCTACGGCGGTATACGTCTCATCTTGGAAGGCCACCTTGTTAGATGAGCAATTCACCATGGTTAAATTTAGGCGAAATTTCGAACGTAACTGTTCTTGATAGCCACATACTTCAAAGACTCTGAAATACTTCATTCAAGATGCGTGCTTTCTAGAAATGGAACCTAAGCGAATTGCGGGGTGAGTAGTGTCTTACACACTACGTGGCGAGGTACGGAGCACAAAAGTATTCCAGTGTTTCATGTTGTGAATGATAAACCACTTGTTGATCAAGTGATGCTCTTCCATTGTTTTATTACCGACTACATAAGCATCGGTGGGTAGGATTCTTACTTTTTTTGTGTCGACTTGCCCTCCAGTATCCAATAAACTTCCAACTACTCCGGCTGAACCGGACAAAGGACACTACATTTTACTTGAGCACGATCGTAGATAAGCGGTTGCAGAAACGATAAGCAGCGCGATAAACTGGATGTTGTTCATGGCAAGACTGGTTGCAAGAGTTAGGAATGCAACACAGTAAAGCAGAAGTAGGTAAGCAAAATGTCTAGCATAGATAGATCAGAAGACTATTGCCAACTGTCTTGAGAACATTCTTAAGCTTTCGAATTGTAGCAATTGTACGAAGTGAGTAATGGATCCGTGGTTCCTGTCCACACATACAGAAGCGATCAAAGGTATTGGGCCAAATGCTTTATCGACCGTGACTTTTTCAGTAGAACAAATCGCACGAAATTTCGATATGCGGCGTCT